AAATCTCTGTAGATGTTCATTGAAATGAAAAATAAACAACCTAAATTAAAAAAAAAAGTGGAAAAAAAAATCATACTAACTATGATATCATCCTGTTGAAACCAGTAATAGGATTTCTTTTCACTTGAATTTGGAATTTTCTTTATAATAAATTGACCGTGGACAAGAAGGGAAAGTTTTGTGTAAATGAATATTAGTAATTGTTGAACAGCAAAAAAGGTAAAATTGCTTCCCTCCCCACACATGAACACAAAAACAGTATAAGTCAAAAATAATCTCAAGCATCTCTATGCTTAAACTTCAGAAACAAATTATTTAGAATTCTTTAAAATATAACTTCATAACAAGCCAAATGTTTCTAATATTATTTTTGAGTAATATAATTCACAGGTGGTACAGACTTCCTGCAGGGCACATTGGTAAAATGAATCAAAGCTTTGAGCCCATAAACCAATTGACCTGGTAGTTTAATTTCTGAAAATAGATACTTAGGAAAGAAGCTTGGATATACACAAAGATTTCTTGTTCTCAGGTGCCAGGGGAGTTGACTGTGACTCATTGCAACCTTAGGAACAACAGATTTGAGCCTTACCATATTCTGTCATAGAGGTTTAGTTACAAGGATACTCATCCCAACATTGGTTTTTTGTAATAGTGAAAAGTTGCTAACAGCATAAGTGTGTATAGTTTTAGGACCAAAGAAATAAAACTAGTATTTTATAGCCATATAGTAATACTGTAAAAAAAAATTTTTTTAAGAAAGAAAATTTCTATTGTAGGCATACCTTGGATATATTCCAGATTCAATTCTCTGCCATCTCAGTAAAGCAAGTCATAGAGTTTTTGGTTTCTCAATGCACATGGAAGCTATACGGGCACTATACTGTGCTATTCTAAATGTGCAATAGAAATATTGTGAGAATTTCCAAAATGAGGCAGAGACACAAAGTGAGCACATGCTGTTACAAAAAGTCTTGCTCAACACAGAGGTGCAACAAACATTATATTTGGAGGATTTTTAAAAATAAACCTGCGGAGCATAGTAAAGTGAAGTATGCCAGTATAAGAAAAGGGTATTAATGATGTATTAGTCATTGATAAAAGCAAATTATAACAATAGTAGGAACTTTTTAGTTTAAAAAAAATTGTATTATGGTATATGCAGAGAAACAAGAGTTTCACCCCAGTGTTACTGAAAGCAGTTCCCGAGTAAGAGGAAAATAGGTGAAGTATTTGCTTTATCTATATTTTCTAGAGCTCTCCTTTGAAACACATTATTGAAGTGTGAAAATAGTGATTCTAGGGTTAAAAGTTTTAACAGTTACCTGGTATGCTCTTGATACTGACTTAAATTTTTGTTTTACAGAAAGTATATAAGCAACAACAAAACAGCAACATATTCTTTCTTGCAGACCAGACAGAGATGCTTTCTGAAAGCAAAAGTAAGTTCTGGTTTTTTGGTTTGTTGTTTTTTTTTTCAGTGTCTTATATTGAAAATCTTCCTTAAACTTTCTGTGGAAATGTGTATTACTGTGCACTGTCAAGTTGGAACCAGCTTGTAGCTGACCCTCCAGTGAGTTTTCAGAGGCAGTAAATGGCATAGGAGGAGATTCTCCTCCTCTTGTGGCCCAGCTGGTACATTTGAACTGTGTGCCTCTGGGTTTGCAGGGCAGCTTCATACCACTAGGCCACCAGAACTTCCTGTGGAATTGTATGGTGATATTTAAGTTTATGCTCTCTAGATCAGGTCGGTGTATATATACATACAATAAAGTGAGAACAGTGGCCTGATTTTTCTTTAGTTAGTCTTCCACAAAATGAGTTAATAAAGACTTAGAGATGGTCTTCCATTAAGATTACAACCTAGAAAATTTTAAGGGGCAGTTCTAGGCTGTTACATGGGTTGCCGTGACATCAAAATCAACTTGGCAACGTACATCAGCAAATTAAAAATACCTAAGTTGTGTAGCATTTCTGATGTTTCCAAATTCTTGAGTTAATGAAATAATGTAGTTTATGTAACATCTATAGTAGATTACTGTTGGCATATACCCAGTGCATCTACTCAGATGGTTTGGTCCTACTATATAATCTGTGATACTCTTCTCAATCATAAGGTGAAAGTTTAAGACATTTTGCTTGCTATTTATTCCTTTTGTTTTCTCCTCCCAGATATATTGGATGAACTAAAAAAAGAATACCAAGAAATAGAAAACTCTGAGAAGACCAAGATCAAGAAATAATCGTCTTTAATTTCACATAACGATGTGCGGCATTTGTTGTTCTGTAAACTTTACGGCTGAACATTTTAGCAAAGATTTACAAGAGAATTTGCTTTATAATCTTAAGCAGCGTGGGCCCAGTAGCAGTAACCAGTTGGTTAAATCTGATGTTGGCTACAAGTGTTTCTTTTCTGGACACGTTCTTCACTTGAGAGGTGTCTTGACCGCTCAGCCTGTGGAGGATGAGCGAGGCAATGTGTTCCTGTGGAACGGAGAAGTCTTTAGTGGAATAAAAGTTGACGCTCAGGAGAATGATACACAGATTATGTTTAATCATCTTTCCTCTTGTAAAAGTGAATCTGACATTTTGTCTCTCTTCTCACAAGTCCAGGGTCCTTGGTCATTCATATATTATCAAGCATCTAATCATTATTTATGGTTTGGTCGGGACTTCTTTGGTCGCCGTAGTTTGCTTTGGCATTTTAATAACGTGGATAAGAGTTTCTGCCTCTCTTCAGTTGGCACCCAAACGTCTGGAGTAGCCGATTGGTGGCAAGAAGTTCCAGTATTTGGAGTTTTCAGAATTGATCTCAAGTCCACTGCCGTTTCCAAGTGTGTGGTTTTACATTTATATCCTTGGAAATGTATTTCTTCGGACAGTGTTGCTGAAGAATATGTTAATAGCCTGGCTAAAATTTCAGCAGACTTGCCCAAGTTTGTGTCAGTGGTAGTAAATGACACCAAACTGTATCTGGAAAACCCTGTTGTTCCATTAAATATGATGTTGCCAAAAGCTCCATTTGAGAGTCCTTCCACTGAGATTTTCAGAGTCCCACCTACAAGAGAGACACTTCAAGCTTGTCTTACTGACAAACATGTGAAGGAAGTGGTTCAGCAGTTCATTGATATCCTGAGTATCGCAGTTAAGAAACGTGTGTTATGCTTGGCCAGGGATGAGAACTTGACACCAGATAAAGCTCTGGAAACTCATGATAGGAGAGCAAATGTTGCAATCCTATTTTCTGGGGGTATTGATTCTATGGTCATTGCAAGCCTTGCTGACCATCATATTCCTGTAGATGAACCAATTGATCTCCTTAATGTGGCTTTCATGACTGAAGAAAAACCTACAACTAGTTTGAACAAAAAAAAGAGTAAGCAGAAAAATGATTGTGAAGTCCCCTCTAAAGAATACTCTCAAAATTCTGCTGTCACATCTGATGATCCTGATAAACAATTCTGTGTACCAGATCGAATCACAGGAAGAGCAGGACTAAAGGAACTGCAAGCTCTCAACCCTTCCCGAATTTGGAATTTTGTTGAAATCAATGTTTCTTTGCAAGAACTGCAAAAATTCAGAAGAACCCGGATATGCCAGTTAATTCAGCCCTTGGATACAGTTCTGGACGACAGCATTGGCTGCGCAGTCTGGTTTGCTTCGAGAGGAATGGGTTGGTTAGTGACACAGGATGAAGTGAAATCCTATCAGAGCAATGCAAAGGTACAGAACTTTATTTCTGATCATCGTAAGAATAAGATACATATTTGATCCTTGACGGTGATGGTTGTTAATATACCATCAGGTCTCCTGCGACGCATAGTGACTCTTAAGTACAACAGCCCTAAACCCTGCTCTATCCTGTGCCAATCTCTCTGTCTCCGACACATCTACCCCCACTACCCCAGTCACTGAACCAATCCATCTCATCTTCCTCTCCTACACTGTCCCTCCACCCTCCGAAGCATGACATCCCTCTCCAAGGACTAGTCCCACCTTGCAACATGTCCAAAGTATGTCAGATGAAGCTTCAGAATCCTTGCCTCCAAGGAGCAGCCTGGTCTCACCCTCTCTAGGACAAACTTGTTCATTCTCTTAATAGTCCATGGTATATACAATACTCCCAACACCACAGCTCAAAAGCATCAATTCTTCTATCCATGGTTATTGTCCAGCTCTCTGATTACAAAGACCCTGGTCTGTATCAGTTGTACTTAGTCTCCAGACTGACATCATTTCTCTTCAGTACTTTAGAGAGGTCTCTGACAGCAGACTTTCCCAACACAATATGTCTTTTAATTTCCTGGCTGGTGGTACCAAGAGTTGATTGTGGAGCCAAGCATACTAAAGCTTTTTACAGTTTCACCATCCATCACGATGTTACATTTCAAAAATAGTATATTCACTAAACATTTAAACGGCAACAAAGGTCTATATTTAAAATTGAACTTATTTTACTCTTTTATGCTTTTTATCTTGGTTTTTTTCCTTCAGAAATGTTACCTTGTGGGTTATAGGGGGGTTTTTTATGTTTCATTGCGTCCTAATTACTGCCTTACCATATAGTAGCATTTTTAATGAGAATTTCTTTAAACCTTTGTAGGTGGTTCTTACCGGAATTGGTGCAGATGAACAACTTGGAGGTTATTCTCGTCATCGTATCTGCTTTCAGACACATGGCTTAGAAGGATTGAATAAGGAAATACAAATGGAGCTGGGACGAATTTCTTCTAGAAATCTTGGTCGTGATGATAGAGTTATTGGTGATCATGGAAAAGAAGCAAGGTAATTCTAATCGTTTGGGATATTGTGTAAGAATAGGAAATTGTAAAAAGAGATTTTTTACTACCGTTCTATTGTTCTTGTTGATTGCCGTTGAGTCGAACTCATGGTGATCCTATGAACAAAAGGCCTGAAGCTCCTCTATAACTATCATCATTTATCAAAGTTCATAGTTTCCAGAGGCATGTTGTTTAGTAAGTGGATGCCACTCCTGCTTCCAAAGTATATGTTTATATCATAGGTATAAATATACTAATTTATAGAAGAAGTTCTTATAGAACATCGCATGGATGGCCAAGAGAACAAATAGATATGTCTTAGAGAGGGTCCAGCCAAAGTGCTGTGCTGTTTGGAGGCAACAATGATGAGGCTTTGCCTCACACGCTTTGGACATGTTGCCAGGAGGTGCTATTCCTTAGAGAAGGACACGATGCCGGGAAGGTCAGCGAAGGAGAGGAAGACCCTCAAGCAGGTTGATTGACACAATGGCTGCTGTAATGGGTGTTTGCATGTCAGGAAGTGTGAGGATGGCGCAGGATAAAACAGGGTTCAGATCTTTTGTTCACAGGGTCACTATGAGTCATACGCAACTCAACAGCACCTGACAACAGTAACAACAACTATCTTGTATATATGATTATATGTCTTCAGACTATCTCAATTCACATATATCTACACAGGGCAAATTGAGCAGACTGAACTTGTAAGTCACCATGCTATTAGCCTGTCATAGTCTTCCAAGATTTTATTATAAGAAATACCACAATACAGAGGCTATAAACTGTTTTCCATCTGCTGCAGGGTTGGGGGGTGGACTTGAGGAAGGAGAGAAATTAAACAGTTCAGTTAGGAAGGAAGGATTAAAGAAATTTATTTTAAAACGCCTATATGAAAGTCTTAGGATACCTCAGGTAAAAATGTAAATAATATTTAAAACCACTTATATAGAATTTGACTCAACAAATACTATTACAGTGGCTAAATGTAAATAACTCTTATGAATATGGGCCTGTATTATAGTTAAATAATCTACTGTTTTGTTTTTAAAATTGTTTTTACAATCAATTCATTTTTATAAAATATCTCCTACAACATATGTCTTTATTCATTCCAGTCTCACTATTTTAGCTAGAATAAAATGTAATGAAAAGGAACTGTGTTGTACTTTGAGAGATTTGGGAAGTAGTTATTAAAATATTTTAAGCAATAAAAGTGCACACCTTGTAGGAATTAGTGAATCAAAGGGTCAGAAAGTTACTTTTATGGGCGAGTGAGTATTTTGTATTATACAAATCTGTTGCTATTTAAACACTTGATGATATTAAAATTGTTTGATTATATTAATGTTTCATAAATGCACTGTATAGTCATCTGTATTCATTCCTCTCCCTAAAGTTAATTTCTTTAGACATGATAAAGAACAGATACAAAATAAATAGTTGCAAAAACTAAACATGTTTTAAACCTACCAGAGGGTCAGCTGTAGGTCAGTAACGACTCAACAGTACACAACAACAACACGTTAACATCGTAAAAGGCATCAAGAATTAATTATAACACGTTCATTTTTTTATTTATTTTAGATTTCCTTTCTTGGATGAAAATGTTGTCTCCTTTTTAAATTCTTTGCCAATTTGGGAAAAGGCAAACTTGACTTTACCACGTGGAATTGGTGAGAAACTACTTTTACGCCTTGCAGCAATAGAGCTTGGCCTTACATCTTCTGCTCTTCTCCCCAAGCGAGCCATGCAGTTTGGATCCAGAATTGCAAAAATGGAAAAGAAAAATGAAAAAGCATCTGATAAGTGTGGAAGGCTCCAAAGAACTACCTTAGAAAATCTTTCTATTGAAAAGATTAAAATGTAGTATAGCTTTATAATGTAACAATATTTACTGAATTTGCTAATAGTTGTATAAAAATAAAACATTGCTGCTTTACTAGATAGGTTTGTGTGTTTTTGTTTTTATTTTTTTTTTTATTTTATTACCTGATAAGTTAGTGTTTTTAAATGTCATTGGTCAAAGTGTGTCACTTTTTCTGGTAACTACATCTCCATTTATTTGTGGTGATTGTGGTCTCAGGAGTATCAATTGAGAAAACAGGCCTATCACTAGGGTAAAGTATGAGCATAACCAAACTTGGGAAGTGCTGAAGTTAAGAAATGGAAGTGATTAACACTAAAGGAGTTGTAAAAATTAGCAAACATACTAGGAAACTCATGAATACTCTGGGATAAGATTTTGAGGGTACTTGATTCAGGGGACCAGAATGTAAGATTGGATAAACAAGGATTCAGTGACTTGGGAGAGTATTTTTGAAAATAGGACTTAACAGAGTGACAAGAACACTAGGACACATTTTCTTTTAGGGCAGCCCCTAGAGGCTTGGAGAAAATGATCAGTGCAGAGGACTGACTAAAGAGCCTGAGGAAAATGGACATTACTGGAATGGATAAATGTGAGACCAAAAATTTACCAGACTATTAGATTTCCTAGAAGGTCCATAGACATGCCCTTTGTCAGAGATTGGCATGGTGAGAGTGGCACCTGCATCACTAGGAAGTTCAGTGGTAGCTCTTTTGAGGGTTAGGTTTGAAAGGCAATCTCATCTGAGCATATTAGTATCCACGAGGTTGATGGAGTGCCACATTTGCAGTAATAGATCACAACATTAGAAAGGTTATCAAGAGGACTTGAAAATTACAGTTGTGGAGATGGATAGTATTGGTGCTATCAAGTTAGCTCTGACTCAGAGTACCCTTGGTACCAGTAGTCAGGAAATCAGGAGATATATTGCACTGGGAAAATCTGTTAGGGACCTTTCCAGATTATTGAGTAATGATGTCAGTTTGAAGAATAAGTTGCATCTGATTCAGGCTAATTACTACTTACGCATCCGAGAATTGGACAATGAATAAGGATGACAGAAAAAAAAAGTTGATGCCTTTGAGCTGTGATGGTAGCTAAGAACATCCCATGGATGGTCAAGAGAATGAACAGATACGTCTTGGAGAGACTGCATTCAAAGTGCTCTTTGGAGACAAGAATGAGGAGGTTTTGCTTCACACACTTTGCTTCACACATGTTGCTAGAAAGTGCTATTCCTTGGAGAACTTGATGCTGGGAAGAGTGGAAAGTTGGAAAAGGAGAGGAAGACCTCATCCAGGTGGATTGATACAGTGACTGCTGCAAGGAGCTCTCGTATGTCAGGAAGTGTGAGGATGGCACAGGATAGAACAGGGTTCAGATCTTTTCATAGAATCGCTTTAATTCGTGCTTACCTTGATAGCACCTAACAACAACAATAACATAAAGGGGAACTATCCCCATCAATAATACAAATGGCAATATAGTCAAGACGTACCCACATGCTTCTGCACCTATTTTTTCCAATGTTTTGGTTTGATATTTGTTACAAGACTCACAGACTTTACTCATAGTTGTGATGTATATTAGGGAAATAGATTGGAGAGTCTGAGGGGCAAAAAATAGGATGCAAGTCCAAATTTAGTCCAGCAATCTTAAACCAGATTAACAAGGCACAATTCCTAAATTAGTGAAAGTCCAAGTTCAGTTCAACAGCACAAATGCAAGAAACTTCTGGCTTCCTCAATCATCCAGCAAACTTAATCTCAGAGCTGTTATAAATCAGCTTTTCTTCAATCATCCAACAAGCTAAGCTTTTTAGTTGTGGCATTTATCTCCAGGGTTGCTCTGGTTACACCTTGCAACAGTCTCTTCACAGCAGTGCCAGTCTCTTCATAATCTCTCCACCACTATCACCACTGGTTTGTTGGTGGTTTGTTTTTTTGTGTGGGGGTTGGGTTTTTTGTTTTGTTTTTTTTACCATGTGGAAAGCACTCTCTTCTATAGGTCCTACAGCTGTTGATTATTTGCAAGACCATGTGTCCACAGGTAGCTAGAGACAATGACCCCTTCATGAGGGTTAACAGAATGGTTAGGAGAGCCAATTTTCAAGTGTTCTGACACTCCAAAGATGTTGTTGCTGCTTGTTGTACCATCAAGTTGCCTGTGACCCATAGTGACCCTATGTACAATAGCTCTAAATCCTACCCTATCCTGAGCCAATTTCATTGTCTCCAACACCCATCCCTATTACCCTAGTAACTGAGTCAATACATCTATCCAGGGTCTTCCTTTACTGGGCTTTCCCTCCACCCTTCTAAGCATGATGTCATTCTCTAAGGACTGGTCCCTCCTCACAATACGCCTAAAGTATGTGAGACAGAGCTTCAAAATCCTTGCCTCCAAGGAGTAGCTTGGTTTCACCCTCTTCAGGACGGACGTGTTTGTTCTCTGGACAGTCCATGGTATATGTAACTCCAACATCACAGGGGAGTAGAGAGGAAATGGGTGGATGGAGGTGGTCAGAGGCCTGAATCATCAAACCAGGGTTGGCTGGGGCAGGGAGTGGGAGGTACTGAAGGAGAAGAGAGGGAACTGAACTGGATGCTAGCAGGCAGGGGAGGGGTTAGAACAGACACGTGCCAAAAGGAGCAGGAGGTGGGCCCAAGACGTGATATGTTACCTGTTTATGGGGAAAGGTCTTTCACCTGCTCTTGGGTAAAAAGCTCGTCTGTCAAATATTGCTCTAAAGCAGAGCATCCAAATTAAGACAGACTGGAGAAGGATTGGCCATTAACTATTCATATGCAAATTCAAACTGAAGGTAAAGAAAATCAAATTCACAAGAACCAAAGTTTGACTTCAAGTCTATCCCACTTGAATTTAAAGACACTCTTAGGAAGAGTTTAGGGCTGTTGTACATAGGGTCGCTATGAGTCGCAAGCTATTCGACGGCACATAACAACAACAACAACTTAGGAACAGGTCTGAGGCCTTGAACACTAATAAGTGAAGATCAGATAAGGTATGGGAAGATATCAAGAATATCATCCATGAAGAATGCAAAGATGGAGGAGAAAGAAAAGATGAAGATGGATGTCAGAAATGACTGAATATTGCATTAGAGTGCTGAGAAGCCAAAGCAAAGGGCAGATATCAAGAAGGAACCAAACAAATTTCATAGAGCAGCTCAGGAAGACAGCACAAAGTAGTATAATGAAAGGTGTATGTAGAGGAACTCAAATATATGTGCAAGCATGAAAATCTTAATAAAAGACAACATCTTTTGGTTTCTTTTACCCTGAAGAAGGCATAAATTTATTAACATTGACTACTAGTAAGAAACTGGGCTGTAATTCCAAAGACACATAGTTTAAAACTGTCTGGAGGAGAAGGATGAACAATCTCCTTCCATGTGATTAACTGCCTGGGAAAACCCACTATAGGGACAGCTATGGGTCTGTTCAAACTCAATGGTACACAACAACAACAATATTCTCATAGTAGTGAAAACATGATAGAGTAGATAAAAGATAAATTCTTTGCCCAATCACCAAGAATCTTCATGTTGGAAAGTTTACTGAAAGTTTCACTTTTTATGTCAGATGGATGTTAGCTGAAAGCAGAGAGTCACAGAGGAATGTCTATCTGTGTTCACTGACTACGCAAAGGCATTTAACCGTGTGGATCATAACAAATTTTGTCTGAGAAGAATGGGAATCTCAGAACACTTGATTGTGTTTATGCAAAACTTGTATGTAGACCAGGAGGTAGTTATCAGAGCAGAGCAAGGAAACACTGCATGGCTCTAAATCAGGAAAGGTGCACACCAGGGAAGCATCCTGTCTCCATATCTTTTCAATCTATATGCAAAACAGATTATCTGGAAAGCTGGACTTTATGAGGAGGAATGTGTTACCAGAATTGGAGGAAGACTCATTAACAGTCTGCATTTTGCAGATGTCACAACCTTGCTTGCTGAAACTGAGGAGAACATGAAGCATTTGCTGCAGAGGGTCAAGGACTGCAGCCTTCAATATGAATCGAAACTCACCACCAAGAAAACAAAGATTCTCAAGACTGGGCCAATTGGCAGCATCATGATAGAGGGAGAAGAGATTGAGATTGTTAACAGCTTATTTGCTTGGTTCCACAACCAACACTATTGGTATCAGCAGGCAGGAAGTCAAAAGACAAATTGATTGGGAAAATCTATTGTTAGCGACCTTTCCAGAGTACTGAAGAGCAATGATGTCAACCTAGAGACAAAGGTGCACCTGATCCAAGCCACGGTCTCTGCAATTGCATGCATTGGAGAGCTGGGCAATGACTAAAGGATTATAGAAAAAGCATCGATGCCTTTGAGTTGAGGTGCTAGAGAAGAGTCTTGAGTATATCATGGACTGCTAAGAAAACAAAACACATTTGTCCTGTAGAGGGAGAATCCAGGCTGCTCTTTGGAGTCAAGGATTTTGAAGCTTCATCTGACGTTGCCAGGAGGGACCAGTCCTTGGAGAAGGACATCATGCTTGGAAGGGTGGAGGGGCAGCACAAGAGAGGAAGATCCTGGGTGAGATGGATTGACACAGTGACTGGGGTAATGGGAATAGGTTAGTCAGAGACAATGAAATTGAATAGGTTCATTATGAGTTGCAAGTGAATTGATGGCACCTAACAACAATAGTGATAACAAACAGCAGTATTCAATAAGATTGGTCACTCCCTTATTCTTGAAAGATTTCGTTTGGTTCTTGGGATCAGTTTTTGTTTTCTTCCTGATTTCCCTTTTCCCCTGTCTTTGTTGGTTTCCTCCCCATCTATACTTTAAGTGTTCAATTTCTCGGCTCTCCATGTGACTTCCAACTCTTCTGTACTCACTCCCTTGGTGATTTCAACTACTTTAAGACTTTAATTACCATAAACACACCCCAATTTATATATCTAGTGTGTAGACATTCTTAGCCTGGATCTATATATCTATATACCTCTCAGGCAGATTTGCGCTCTCTCTCTACTTGATTTTATCACTGTATTTCAAGTATGTCTACAACTGATCTCTTAATCTTGCCTCCATCAATCACTTCTCATTAGAAGTTCATCTTTACTTCACTTTCTTCATTACCACCTTCCTAATCAATATGTTACCAAACTGCTACCCCCATAAACAAACAAAAACCTGCTGTTGGTTCTGACTCATAATGGCCTTCCACTGGTTTTCCAAAGTTGTGAAGTATTTACTGGATGAGATTGCCATCCTTCAACTGCCCAAAACACCTGATGGATTCAAACTGACAACCCTTCAGTTCGCAACTGGAGAAGTATGCACTATGCCACCAAGGCTACCACCTCAACCCTATCCCCCACCCCAATCCTTCCACTTACTACCTCCACCCCCAAGTCCCATTCTGTCTCCCGCTCCTGTGCTTCAACGTCCACCCCACCCCCGCCCCCAGCTTGCACATAGCTACCATGGTTTAACTCTTGAACTCAGAAGGCTGAATAATCCGACCCTCACTTCTTCTACATCTTCACTTTGTGCCACCATTTTCCATATCGCAACCCAAATTTTAGTTGTTTCTTAAAAAAAAAAATAAATAAATTTCCACTTTCTTCTCCTCTTAAGTTTCCTCATTTGCTATCCCTACATATGAGTCTGTTTCTACTTGACAGCATATAAACGATATAAGAAGATCCCTGGAAAAACTACTCTTCCCACTCTGCTTGCGTAGCCCTTTTTCATTTCCAGTTCCGCTTCAAAGCTTTTTTCCTCGGAAGAGCTTTTCCAGCATCAGATCTGCTTTCCAACTGCAGTCTGCTCTTCCTCATGTTCCAACATGACATATCTATCACCTTGTTAAAGATATATATGTTGTATGTTTAACTGTAAGTGTGTGTGTGTGTGTGTGTGTGTGTGTGTGTGTGTGTGTGCGCTCTATAGGCGCTCCCGGCACCGTGCTTGGCAAATAGTTCCTAGCTGTTCCACAAACAATTGTTGCATAAATGAATGACGACAGAGGTGGGAGCACCTCAAAGTTCCATTCCGTTTTTTCACCAATACTGCTCTGTTTTTCTAGAGACCAATAATGAGAGTCAGGAAACGGACAATTACAAAACTTAGAGCCGGAGGCTGGGAGACCCGCCTGCGAGCATAAAAAAGTTGTGGGTTTCCTGGGAGTCACCTTCAGCACCAGGTACAAGACACCAGGCTTAGGAGTTTCGACCTGCGCAGTCCAGGAGGTGACAGCGGACGAGACGAGGGTTCCTCACTTGGATGGAAAGCCCATTTAACCAAGATTTTACCCTCTCTTTGTGCTTTGCCATTCCCTAGGTTGGTGGAAGATTGAAGTTTTCTCTTGAGCTTGAATACTGACGGGCCTTTGTTTTGATTCTGAAAATTAAATCTCTGGTGAGTTCTGCATCCAATGTAGTCCCTATGTCTTCATCTCTAAATTGGGTGTTACGAAGTCTGTTTCTCTGAGCAGAGTTATCAAAACATGGCCCTGGGAGAAGCAATGTTAGTGTTACCTGGAACTTGAAAAAAATGTACATTTTCTAGCTCTATCCCAAAAAGCTGCATGGTAAAGTCTAGAATGGGTTTCAGCAATCAGTTATTAACAAGCTCCAGGTGATTTTGATGTAGGCCAAAGTTTTCTACTCATGGTATAATTAGAGAAGATTACATGAAATAGGTAAAATGGTTTGTAAAGAGACTGGCACACAGTAGATGCTCAATAAATAGTTGTCATTATTGTTGCAGAACTGAGAGACAAGTGCACAAAAACAAAAGGCTAAACAGGTATTTCCTTTTTTCTTTCTTTCTTCCTTTTTCCTCGATTTCTCCTTTTTTCCTTAGCTGGGCTCTTGATTTTCTTGCTGAAAAGAAATGAAAACAAAATAAATGTATGTACATGTAAAAAAAGAAGTAGAATACATAATTCATAGTATATCTTTCGACTTTTTGAAAAGTAGAAAGTGATTAATGTTAAAGTCCTTGGAATTATAATTATTTTAATTAAAATGTCAGCAGTTTTTTTTTATCTTGAAAGAAGAAAAATTCATTGGCAGGTGGCCTAGAGGAACTCTTCTTCCAGAGATCTAGATCAAAATGTCAGCTTTTTTCTACAGCAATTGGTTTAAGGTAAAAGGAAATGTAATGACTGACTATAAAAAAATAACTATGAAGTTAGCTATAAAAATTAATCACAAATTTTTTTTTCACAAATTTCTTTTTTGAGGTATCCAGTTTCATTACCAGGACAAATTTTATTGATGGCTTGTCTTTTTCTTCATTGCAGAAACCTCAAAAAAGATATATTAGAATTAATTAAAAATGCTTAGATTACCTAAAGAAGGATTAACTAGATATGATCAAGTTCAAGATGAAGAAAACTACCTGGAAAGTTTAGCAGTACAAAGAAATGTTTCTGCCTTTTTTGAAAAATACGATCGGAGCGAAGTACAAGAGTTGCTTACCACTACCATAGTAAGCTGGTTGTCTGCCAAAGATGATATTCACTCGAAAGTAGATATACCATGTGGTATTATGGGTCAGATAAATAATGTAAGTTTCTCTACTGCAATCCTGCTGACTCCAGTGGACCCCACCGCCCTCTTAGACTACCGAGAAGTCCATCAGATCATAAGAGAGCTGTCTATTGGGATTTATTGCTTAAATCAAATTCCTTCAATCAGTTTAGAAGCTAATTATGATCAGAGTTCGTCATGTCAGTTACCTCCAGCTTATTATGATACTAGAATTGGGCAAATTCTGATCAATATTGACTACATGCTGAAAGCACTGTGGCATGGAATATACATGCCCAAAGAAAAACGAGCCAGATTCACTGAACTATGGCGAACTATTCTGGATGTTGATCCAGATGGGAAGCCTCAAACAAATAAAGATATTTTTGCAGAATTTAGCTCAGCAGGTAAGGTCATTCCATAGTTTTACATTATTAGAATCTATTTTGTTAATTTATGGTTTGGTTTATCTATAGTTTATTTATAGTTCTATTTATATTGTTGTTGTTAGGTACCGTGAAGTCGGAACCTACCCATAGCTGACCCTCCAGCAGGTTTTCTGAGCCAGTAAATTTTGTGTGTGAAGATTGCTCACCTTTATCCCATGAAGTACCTGCTGGATTTGAACCACTGTGCTTTGTAGCCTTGGAAACCACTCTATAGTTTTGATTTCAGGTTGAATAGCTAGTCATTGTGAATCTTCATGTTTGTTTCTGTAGACTACTTGAAAGTTTTCTTTGGGATATTTTTGTACCCTTTGTTCAATTTGTAATTTGGTTGTCTTTTTTGTTGTTGAAGTATTGAGGTTTTCCAAAAAATTTAGAGATGATTTCCTGTGAGATATGTGGTTGTTAATTATTTTTCTCTCCTCTATTGGTTTTCTTTTTACTCTTATGGAAAAATCTTTTTATGCAGAAGAATAACTTTTTCAGACAGTCCCAATTGTCAAGTTTACCCTTTGCTGTTTGAATGTTTTTTGTTATGTTTGTAAATTTCATGAATCTCAAAACTATATAGCCTTCAATATAGGTGACATCTTAATGTAAAGTGAACGAAAACCCTCACAATAAGCACTATTGTGATAGAGAAAAGAGTAGTCAAGGATTCTATTTCACTTGTATCTACAATCAATGTCTATAGAAGCAGCAGTCACATTGGACAAATATACCAACAAGGACCTATCTAAAGTGCTCATGAGTAAGGATGTCATTTTAAAGACTAGTGTGTGCCTGTCTCAAGCCATAGTATTTTCATTTGCTTCATATGAATTTGAAAGTTGGACAGTGAATAAGGAAAATGGAAGAAAAATTGGTGCCTTTAAATCGTGGTGGTGTTGAAGAATATTGAATATACTGTGGACTGAGAAAGGAACAAATAAGCCTGTCTTGAAAGTGGTGCAACCAGACTGCTCCTTAGAAGCAATGATGGTGAGACTTCATCTCACATACTTTGGGCATGTTAGGTTGTATATTATCAGTAAAGGCCAGTCCCTAGAAAAAGTTCTGGTAGCCTCATGCTAAGAAATCGCACTGCCAACCCAAAGGCATACTGTTTGTATCCATCTGCTGATCCTAGCGAGAAGAATGGATAGTTTCCTCCCGTGATGTTTACAGCCTCAGAAAACCTGCTGGAGGGTCAACTACGAGTTGGTTCACACTTGATAGCAGAGAGGAACAACATCCAAGTAGAGGGTTAGCAAAGAATAGGGAGCTCTTCAATGAAACAGATTGACATAGTGACTCAAGCAATGGACTTAAACCACAGCAGAGGCTGTGAGGATAGTATTGGATCCAGAAAGGTTTCACTTTGTTTACCTAGAGTCACTATGAGTCAGGGCAGCCCTTCACAACCACAACGAAGTTTGCCCCTATTTTTATCATCTTTATTGTTTTAGGTTTTACATATAGTTCTTTGATCTATTTGGAGTTAGGTGTTTTTGTGTGTGTGGGGGGGTGAGGTATGGCTCTTGTTTAAATTTTCTGCAAATAGATACCTTGTTTTTCCAGTGCCATTTGTTAAGGAGGCTTATTCTTGTTTAATGAATTTCAGCTTTTTGTCAAAGATCAAATGGATCTGTTTCTCAGTTCTATCCTGTTCATCTGCGTGTCTGTCATTGCACCAGTCTCAGGCAGCGTTTGACAACCATAGCTGTGTGGTAGGTTTGGGGATCAGGAGGCATAAGACATTCTACTTTCCCCCCTTTTCAGTGGTGCTTTGCTTAGTCACTTTTCTTTCCATATAAAGTGGGTGACTCTTTAGGTTTAGGACTCTTATACATAGGGCCGCTATGAGTCGCAAATGACTCGATGGCACATAACAACAACAACAACAATGAAATCTGGAAAGAAATCGCATAAGAGTGTAGAGGCAAGATATCTGGTCTGGGATAGAGTCAAAGAAATGGGGTAGGGTTGTCTTCTCTCCTTGCACTAGATGGAGGCCGTGTGTACCTTGGAAGATAGGGATGGCATGCACCCCTTGCCAGATCCACAAGGGCACCCTGCCAGAGACAGTGTCTGCCAGATAGGCTGTAGGTGGGGCACCAGCAAAGGGATGGCACACTACCCTAGCCCTAATAGATAGAATATGTGTATGGAGGTGATGTATACCTGACGCTAGACCCACAGGGGTGTCCAGTCAGAGAAAGTTGCTGTCAGCTGAGAGTTGGTCTTGGGAGTGTCCTCTGCAGGCCCCGAGAGCGGGACAGTGCACAGCTCCATATACAGGTATGGCTGAATTCCCAGGAGTGGCTTGTCAGGGGCAGATTCTGTCAGCTTAGTAGGTAAGCAAGAACAAGGATCCCAGTCAGAGAAGGTGCTTCTGTCAATTACAGGACGGCTGTACCCAGTCCTCCACCCTCTCAGTACTGGCACATTCTGAGCAGGCGGCAAAAAGCATACATCTCAGAAGGTGGGACTGTGTACTCTTGTCACCAGATCCACAGTGACACACACCTGACCTCAGACAGCCAGCGACCAGTCTCAGAGGGGTACCACTGGCCACCTCCTGGGTGGGATATAGGTGACAGTCTCTCCCCTGATCTCCAGGAGGGTGTGGGGAACAAGGGATGATGTCATCTCTCTTGTTCTCACCGAGGCATTGGTGTGTGCGCAGCTACATTCCTCGATTCCTGCCCCAATCAAAAAGCTGCTTGCAAAAGTTCACAATGGCTGTGCTGAGCTGTTTGGTTTTATTCACTACACTCGCTCCTGATTCTGTGTTTTCATTCAGTTTCTTTTTCTTTCAGTACTTGAACTCCCTCCTCCTCTGTCATTTCCTTTGAAGCTCAAGATTCCAGGATTCTCGTGCATAATTGCTATCTTTGTTTTCTGGTCTTTTATTGTAGACCACTGATATGTCAAATGTGATAACAGTTACTCATGGTGGACAGTGTTTTGTGGAGCTCCCCGATTAATACAAGCTTGGAAGCAGGAGTGGCACCCACTTCTGAAATAGCTTGCCCTCAGAAACTACGAACTTGGAGAAATGACAAAAGTTAGACATGTGTTCAGGTCTTTCATTTATAGGGTGGCTATGAGTCCTCTGCGACTCAATGGCACTTAACAACAACAACAACAGATGCTACCTAAATTATGTTTTAAGTCATACATACATCTCTCCTCTTTAATCTTCAAATTCTGCAAAGTAGACCAGATTCTAAAGCACATGATGGAGAAATTTCTGCTTAAATATTTTGTCTTACAAGACATAAGCAGGAAGATCAGTTACAGAGTCCAGAAAGGAGTAGAATTAGAGTACAATTAGAAAACCTGCAAAGTTGAAAGCAAAAGATATTGCTTTATATGTATATTGTATATGTTTCCTGCATGTAAATTGGCTGCACAATAAGGATTAATATTAAAAACCAGGTTGCTCCTTAGAGAAAAGGATGGTTAAACTCCTCATATTCTTTGGGCAAGTCAGGAGGGGCCTGACAAAAGGCATCATTTTAGGAAAAGTGCAGTCAGAGAAAGTGAGGAAGACCCTCGACAAGAAGGATCGGAGCAATCACTGTAACAAAGGACGCAAGGGTGTGAGAGGTCATGCGGATGGTGCAGGATATGTCAAGGTTCAGGTCTCCTGTTCATATGGCTGCTGTGAGTCAGAGTCAGCTCGATGGCACGTTACAGTAACAACAACATTGAAAACATTTTCATCTATTGAAAACATTTCCAAATATTCCTATGGGCCGTCAAGTTGAAACTGACTCCTAGCTGATCCTCCAGTAGGTTTTCCAAAGCTGTAAATCACATGAGAGGAAATTGCCCATCTTTCTCCTTTGAAGCAACACTAGCTGGCAGATTCAGACTGTCTTTAAGTTGGTTAGCACAACTTTACCTACTAGGCCACCAGAGCTACCTTTTTAAATATTCATCAGGCTGGTTGGCTTTTCTTGGGGCTCCTTCCTTCCTTCCTTCCTTCCTTCTTTCCTTCCTTCCTTCCTTCCTTTCCTTTCTTTCTTCTGCAATATGTCTATAGACACCTTCACTTTCTTCACTTTCATTTCTTCATTTCAGGTTTGCTGTACTGTGAAACCCATTGTCCTTATCTTCTGCTTATTCCAGGCTCTGTCATTAGGGAGGATTCCCTCCTGTATCTAATTATCCTTGTACACACTTGTTGATTATCATTTCCTTAAAATAGAAATTCTTAGCTTTTTAGTAAAATAAAAATGATAACTAATACTGGACACCTTAAAACCCCAAGAATATTCAGGGTATTCATACATTTGTTAAAGAACCAGAGGGGACTTAGGGACACATTGATGTATAATTTACAATTTTAAGCACATACATTGAGAACGACTGCCATGGTTTCTACAGATTCATATTTCATGACTTAAAAAGGAGTTTTCTCAAGCCTATATTAAAGGTGACATTATAGATGTAACTTTCTTTTTTAAAAAGTTAACACAAAATTCCTTAATTTGATAGTAAATGGCAAAAACAATATTTTTCATTTATAATAGAGTAAAATAAAGTTTTAACTCTTGTTTCATAATGATTAGTTATCTTTCAGGATGTTTGTTGTCCATATGAGAAGATTCTTTACTTAAAGAGAGATCATATTTTGTTGTTATCCTTTCGGATTTCCATCTTATATGAGTGCATTTCTGTGGTATTTTGTTCCTTTCTTCCAAATTGAATAGAATCCATTTTTTCTTAAATCCACAAACTCAAATCCTTCTTCATTTTTCTTTTTTACCGGCTTGACCACTTGCTTTTCATTTTACACATTGTTGTTGGCTCTCGTTTTTTCTTTATTTTCATGTTAGTAGGTTTTTAAGACAAACTCTGTATCCAATCTGCTATGTTTATACAGATTCCAAATATGAAGTTTTCATTGTCTAATATTTTTCCTTTGTGAAGGTTTGATTGATATTACAAAGGATCCTGACTTTGAAGGAATTTATGATGAAGTCATCAATGGAGATCCAACATACGATCCCAATAGCCCTGAAGAAAAATCTACATTTATGAAATATTCTGAAAATACTCTATTAAAATTGACATTTAGTACCACACAAGTTCAACAGTGTGAAAATGTCTTTATATTTGAAACAGCCTATTGGCTTACTAATGCTATAAAATATAATCAAGATTATCTTGATATTTGTACCTACCAGAGATTACAGCAAAGATTATATCTTCAAAAAAAGATTATTCAGAAACATTTAGAAAAGAAAAAAGATATCAGAAGAGAGATGGGATACCTAAAGTTAATATGTTTTCTGACTCCATTTTTACTGAGTTTAAAAAAGAAAATGAAAATTCCCTATTTAAGTTCTTTGCTTAATCCTTTTTCAGGTAAGAGTATCCCCATAGCACAAACATGATAGATGTGGGCACAAGCATTTAACCTAGTTAATGTAGAACCATTAGAAAGCTAAATAAAACAGAATTCAATGTCTCCAAAGTTATAAAGACATGGTATATAGAATTGGATTTAATATGTATGTATACTGATAGTAATTATTGTTAATGATGCTGATTATTTGTCTTTTTTAAAAATTATTTGTCTTGTAGAGACATGTCCAAATATGTTTTGGAAAGGGTGCAGCCAGAGTGTTTTTTGGAGGCAAGAATGATGAGGCTTTGCCTTACATATTTTGGGCCTGTTGCTAGGAGGGAGTAGTCCTTGGAGAGGGACATGATGCTAGAAAGGGTGGTGGGTCGGCAAAGGAAAGGAATACCCTCAACCAGGGGGATTGATACAATAACAACTACAGTGGGCTCTTGTGTGTCAGGAAGTGTGAGGATGGCACAGGATAGAACAGGGTTCAGATCTTTTGTTCACAGAGTCACTGAGTTGTACTCGATTCGATAACACCTAACAACAACGATAACAACATATGTAATAGCATTTAAAATGCATGTATACCTGTAGTAATATTGTTAATGACATTAATTATTGTTGTTGTTATGTACCATCGAGTCACTTGCAACTCATAGCGACCCTATGTACAACAGCCCTAAACCCTGCTCTGTCCTGGGCCAATCGCACTGCCTCTGACACACCCATCCCGATTATTAATGAAGCAAAATAAATTTCTTATTCAGAAACAGTTAAAACTATTGCATATTTTTGCTTTACTCACTGCAGTATTGAGTTTCTTCTATGTAATGAAGAAAATGTTATGCAAACCTGTGAATTGAGTAAAACCTGGGCAAAATTATTAACTATGCTCCTAATTAGACGGGACAGGGCTTCTTGGACCTGCCCTCACTTTCAAACAAAACTCTGGTGCCACAGGGCATTTAAGTGTGAGACTGCTAACAAAAAGGTGGACTGTTCAAACTCACTGACTGTTCCACAGGGGAAAGACAAGAACAAATAGGTTTGCCTTGGAGAAGGAGCAGGCAGAATGGTCCTTGGAAGCAAAATGACAAAGCTTCATCTCACATACTTTGGGCATGTTGCTAAGGAGAGAGGCTATTCCTTGAGAGGGACATCGTACTTGGAAAAGGAGAGTCAGCAAAAGAAAGGAAGACCCTTAATGAGAGGAATTGACACAGTGACTGCATCAATGGCTCAAGTGTGTCAGAGATGATGAGGATGGCACAGGACAGGACAGGTTTTAGATCTGTTGTTCATAGGGTCTCTTTCACTTATACTCAACTCCATGCCAACTAACAACAACTTTTCTCTATCTTTTCCATTTCTCAAAAATGTATACCTTTTATTGAGAAAATTATACTCTGCTAACATCTGAAAATCGGAAACAAAATTAATCTTGCTAGTGTAGCTTCCTATTCCCTAGATATGGTCACCAAAAAAATGTCTCAAGCATACTCTCTAAACTTGGATCCTTTCTCCTGTTAAGTAAGTAAGATGACCAGAACTCATCATGACCCTATGAACAGTAGACCTGAACCTTGATCTATTCTGTGCCATCTTCATCATTTCCAACCTAATTGAGCCAATTGTTACTGCCATTTGTCAGTCTATCTCATCGAGGTCTTCCTCTCTTCCACTCACTCTCCACTTTTCCAGGAATGATATCCCTTTAGAAGGACTGACCAGGAGCTCCTCACAATGTGCTTAAAGTTTGTGAGACAGTTTCATTATCTTTGCCTCTAAGAAGCACCTTAGTTTCACTTTCTCCAAGATCTGTTTATTATTTTGGCAGTCCATAGGATATTCAGTACTCTTCTCTAATGGCAGAACTCTTAGACATCAATTCGTCTGTCATCCGTATTCATTGTTCAACTTCCAGATGTATAGAAAGGAATTGAAAAGACCAGGCCTTGAATCAGATGCACCTTGGTCTTTAAACTGATATTCTTTTCCTTAAAACCTTGGAAATGCCTTTGAAAGCATATTTTCCCAATGCATCACATCTTTTGATTTCTTTACTGTTGGTACCAAGAATGTTGATTGTGAATCCAAGCCAGACGAAATTGCTAACAACTTCAATCATTTTCTCCCTCTGTCATGACGTTGCCTGTTGGTGCAGTGGTGAGGATTTGTTTTCTTGATGTTGTGATGTAGTCCATACTGAAGGCTGTAATCTTTGATCTTCTGAAGCAAATGTTTCAAGTAATCCTCCCTTTCAGCAAGCAAGGTTATTGATGACTCCTGATGCCACATTCTTCAGATTCCTTCTCAAGTTGTTTGCTCAGCTTGCAAATGAAATACAACTTTGATGCACACCTTTGCTGATTTTAAACCATGGAGTTTTCCATTGTTCTGTTTGGACAGTAACTTCTTGATCTAGGTGTAAGGTTTGAGCACAGTTAAGTGTTTCAAAATTCTCATTTTTCTCAATGATAACCATAATCTGTTAGGATCCACACAGCCAAATGCCTTTTCATACTCAATAAAACACAGATATATATTCTTCTAACATTCTCTACTTTCAGTCACGATCCATCTGATACCAGCTGGCATCCATCGTACAGTGATATCACTTGTGCCTTTTCTAAATTCAGTTTGAATTTCTTTCTGTTCTCTGCTATGTATTGTTATAGCTATTTTTGGATACTCCTCCACCAGATTTTACTTGTATTTGATATTAGTGATACTATCTGATAAATTCTACATTGTGCTGAATCACCTTTTCTTGGAATGAATATCCTTAGCCGAGATAAAGATTGTTAGAATGGAACACTTGGAAGTGTGTTCTTTGGCCTTGTAACTCCTACATGAGCTAACCGCTGACTTTACTGATCCGAACCATCTCAAGACACGTTCATTTAGAGCATAACTATGTAAATAGGGAAGTAAGAAAGTTTGTGATTCAGAGCAAGCCTACCAGTAACCTAGTTCAAGTTTAAAACCCTCAAAATTTTCCTTTTGATTCCTTGAAGGGTTGTCCTTGATGTCCTGGATACAAGGGTAAATGGTCATGTAATTAGGCTAACAAAAGTGAATGACACTCGTCCAGTTAGTGTGGAGGCAAACTGCCACAGTTAAAGGATTTAAACTTCATAAGGAGACTTTCCTCAAAACTGACTCCATAGACTAAAAATTCATTCTGTGGCAGGAACTGGCAGGACATGTTGTTTGTCTGTTATATTTTCTCATTTTAAAAATATTGTTAAATAGCTGTTGGGCTGGTTTTATAAAATTGCATTCTTGAGTGTTTCATTAGGCTTTTAGAAAATTATTTATAAATAATGATTACATGTTTAGTTGCTTTGTTGTTGTGTGCCATCAAGTTGCCTAAGACTCATAGAGATCATATCCACAATTACTCTGAACTTTGTCCTTCCCTAAGCCAATCTCACTGTCTCTAGCACTTCTACACCTATTACCCCAGTCACTGTGTCAATCCATCTCATTCAGGATCTTCCACTCTGGCGTTGTCCCTCCGCCTTTAGAAACATGTTATCTTTTCTCCAAAGACTAGACCCTTCTCACAAAATGCCCAAAGTACTATGAAATGGAGCTTCAAAATCTTTGCCTCCAGAAAACAACTTCGTTTCACCCTCTCCAGGACAGACCAGTTGTTCTCTTCAAAGTTCGTGATATGGTCATTACTCTTTATCAGCAACACAACTCAAAGACATCAGTTCTTCTGTCATTCTTATTTATTGTCTAGCTCTCTTATGCATAGCAAGTAATTGCAAAGCTCATGGCGTGGATCATGTGCACCTTGGTCTCTAGACTGACGTCTTTGCTCTTCAGCACTCTGGAACACCCTGACAGCAGACTTTCCTAATCCAATTTGTCTTTTGACTTCGTAGCTGCTGGTGCTAAGAGTGTTGATTGTAGACCTGAGCAAGCTGAAATGCTAATAATCTCAAACTCTTCTCCATTTATCATTGTGCTGCCTATTGGCCTAGTGGTGAGAATCTTTGTTTTTTTGATGTTGAAGTCCATTTTGAAGACCACAGTCCTTGACTTTCTGCAGCAGACACTTCAAGTTCTCCTCAGTTTCAGCAAAGTTGTATTATATGAATAATGCAAGTTGTGAGTTAAAAAAAATGGGGGTCACTTTCATAGTAAAAAAAAAAAGCAAAGGCTATTTCTAGTCCATCCTATAATACAGTGATGTGAGCAACAGAATAATATCCATATGCATACAAGGAAGACCTGTTAATACCACTGTCATTGAAATATGTGCATCAGCAATCAAAGCCAAAGAGGAGGAAATAGAAGATTTCTAACAACTTTTGAAGATTTCTAACAACTTTTGCAGTCTGAAATCGACTAAATGTGCAACCAAGACACATAATAATAATGGGTTACTGGAATCCAAAAATTGGAAACATGGAAGAAGGATCAGTAGTGGGAAAATATGGTCTTGGTGACAGAAATAAGGCTGGAGAGATAGTATGATAGAATATTGTACTGTCAATAATTTGTTCATTGCAAATACCTTTTATAAGAAACACAAATAAGGACTATACACATGAACTTCACCTGTTGGTTTACGCAGGATTCAGATTGATTACACCTGTGGAAAGAAGAGTGGAAAAGCCCAGTACCAACTGTGAAACCTAGGCCAGGGTGCTGATTGATGGTCAGATCATTAAGTATGCAGGTTCACTCTGAAGCTAGAGAATAAAATACACAAGCACCAAAACTTGACCTTGAGTCTATCCCACCTGAATTTAAAAAAATCTCAAGAACAAGTTTGAGACCTTGAACACTGATGAATGAAGACCAAATGAGCCATGGGATAATATCAAGAATATAATACATGATGAATGCAAAAGGTCATTAACTGCTTTACTTTCCAGAAAAAAGCCATCTGTTAATTTCTGTCATTACTAGTATTCACTAATTTCCTTTTATTAGCTCCTTTTTCACTCAGATTTTTATATACTTAACCAAAAGGTTGCTAAGACATGGGGCTTTAATTATCCCACGATCTCTTTGTTGTGGTGGAGGTAAGACAAAAAATAATTACTGTTTTTACTGTATTTTTTGAAACATCTATGCATGTGCAACAATGAATGAATGAGGGGAAAATCAAATGGAAAGAATATGCTGTAAAATGAGTATGTTGCATTAAAATCATTAATAAAAATATCTATGCAATGAAATTACTGAAAATGTTCAGAATGTGTAATACATTCTAATTCTTAGAATATGTTGTGCATTAAATAGGAATAATTTAGTAATATTTAATTGTCAAGCTTTTAATTTTTACTTAGACTTTTTTACTTTGATTACATGAATAAAAATTTAGATTTCTCTTTAGCTATAAAAAACCTCTTTATATTAACTCTTGTAATTATAACTCTTTAGCTATGTTGACTTTTAAAAATAATATTCAATAATATTATTGAGAGTAAACCCAAATATAGTCCTTCTTCCTTTTTTTGTTGTGATTTGAGTGAAAGTTTACAAAGCAAATTAATTTTTAATCAACTGTGTTTTGTTATAAATATTTTGTTATACAACATTAATTTCAATACCCACAATGTATTTCACTTTCCCCACTTCCTCCTTTTAATTCTGATTTCCATTAATCCTCTGTACTTCTCTATGTGTTCTCTTTCTTTGTGATATTGTGCTTATCATCCTCTTATTATATACTGGCTTTCCTTTCAGTTGTCTTAACAAATGTCTATTATATGTTTGTTACTTTCTACTCACCTTCCTGTCTTTCCCATTCCTGGTAACCATCCAATAATTACTCTATATGGGTGTAAATTTTTCTTTAGCTTTTTATAATAGTGGTTTCATACAGTATTTGTTCTTTTGTGTGACTGACTGCACTCAGCATGATGTCCTCTAGGTTCATCCATGTTATGCAGTCTTTCATGAATTCTTTATCTTTTTAGTTTTGCATAGTAGTATTCCATAAGTACTGATTACTTTTTAATTGTATGTTCATTTTGGTAGATGACAAAGTCAAGACAGAGAGAGAATTACCTCCATTTATTTATGGAAGAGATTTTAAATGTCAGCATTTCCACTACAAAGAAAATAAATATTTTCATATTCATGGAGGAATTGAGTTTGATATCAGCACCCCTCCAATTGAGAGTGCTTTGGAAGATTTTCAGGTTTAAATTTATTATCCTTATTGAAATGATTTATTGATTAACTCTGTTCTCCAACTAGAAAAAGAGTCTCTGTTGGGATAGGCTTGAGGCCGCTCTCTTAATCATTATCCTCCTAGCTCACCTATTTATTCATATCTCGCTTAATGTATGTGTGTTAGATGTCAGGGGTAAAAATAAGAAATAGGATATGCACGGCCATCATTCTCAAAGAACTTGCAGACTCCATATGTGCTATATAAGATAGTTGATCATGTTGTTGTACCGTCAAGTCAGAACTGAGCCTTAGCTGACCGTCTAGTGAATTTTCAGGGACAGTTAATCACATGGAAGGAGATTGTTCATCCTTCTCCCATGGTGCAGCTGATGAATTCAAACTGCATGCCTTCAGGATTGCAGTGCAGCTTCTTGCCACTAGGCTACCAGTGCTTCCTAGTTGATCATAATATAGAAAAATCTTTGTACATACTCCATAGTCTTCTACTTGCCTTAAAGATTAGTATTGGCAGTTGAGTTTTCTAAACTCTGGGAACAGAAGTCTTCATTAGACACTTAGTATGAACGTTATACATTTCAATTGTCGCCACTCTGCCTTTTCTCTATATAGCTTTCCTTAACTATTTTACTCCTGATTCCCAAAGAAAAAATAACTGTTAGGATCCAATTTTTAAAAAGATGTCATTTACATGTATAAAGTTTTATCTTAAAGAAATTTTACTGTTGCTTAAATATATTTAAAGAATTTTATTAACATAACTCATGTTTTAGAAAAATTTAGAAAAAATACAAAAATGTGCTGCTAATACTTTTAGTGAAGATTCTGGATACAAGGAATATTATTCAATACCGGTTATGGAATTTTATGGGAAAAGGTAAGGAATCTTCTGTATTTATTCATAGTAACTACAACTTACTGAAAGTTTGAGATTGCATAAGAGAGGATAAAGATATTGTCAAAATGCAAAGGCTAACTTTAAATCCTGGAACAGAGGTCCCAGAACAATAATCTCCTTAAATGATATACTGCATAAAATATTAAATGTTTTATGTTTTACTTCACTCATTTTTATCAGTACTAGATGAGCACAATAGTCCCTAAAGGGGCAGATTCCAAGGCAGAAGAATATGAAACGAAATATTTTAAAATTTGTTGTAACGTTAACAGATTCATAGCTGACCTTCCAATGGGTTTTCAGAGACAATAAGTTACTAGGGAGGTGACTGCCAAATTTTATCCCGCAGAGCAGCTGATGAGTCCAAACCGTGAGCCTCTGCTTTGGCAGTGCAACTCCTTACCACAGAGCCACCCCCACAAAGTCCTTTTAAATGTTCACACTAAAGGTTTGGAAGAAGGACAGTGACAGTGGTCCATCACTATGCAGTTCTTCAATGTTAATTCCCTGGCTGAACTGTACAGCCCTGACCTTTTAACATTGACCATTTGAGCTTTCTGTGCTTCTAATAATCATTCACAATTTTCCAAACACTTGCCTACACAATTGAACCATTGGAGTAACAAATTTCTCTTGTCAGACGGCTTACCACTTGATTCCTAACTTAGAAGAGTTCTCAGATGCTTCTGGAAACTCTCAAAGTATAGCAATTTTTAATTACTGGATTTCTGACCAAACAGTTCTCAGATGCTAGACTTTTATTGGATAACTAGAGGACTTTATAGAGGAAAGTGCATTACTTTTCCTTGATATTGGATACATTTACAAATGTGTGTCATTACCTAGACAATATTACTGAATATCAGCTTCATCTCTGTGTTCCAAAGATGGATGCCAGCTCCTGTTCCCATAGCCCTTTACCACAGCACGCCTCTGGGAAATGCATAGGTTGCTGGCAGTGGCTTCTATATGGTACAGAGTTGAGCCAGGACCAAGGCAAAAGGACATTCTTACTGTGTTCTCCCATCACCTAGCTCCATGGAGGGAGTCTGTGGGATTTGGGGTACTTGTGGTGGTGTCCAGTCTTACCGGTGTATACAGTTGGATTTGTTGGATTAAGTACGATCCCTATAGTTTCTTAGGAGACTAGTATTTGAAAGTTATCCCAAACCAATTCTATGATTCAAAATAATACCTACTCCTAAATTTTCAATGCTGGGTTTTAGTAAATTAGAAAAGTCCTTGTTGATGAAAGACAACCCCATAAGTTGCACTCCATAGACAAAGTGATAAACCCTACTGCCTGGTCTTGCAATGCACTGGCTAGGTCTATATGATGGCAGCCTTTATTTTATATTCCTGGTTTCCTTTTGCAAGTAGAGGGTTTGGGATAGGAAGAGTTGCACCTGTAAGTAAATCTGACTGGATTTTCAGACATGTCCCCATCCCTGCACTGAGAAAGGGGATTCAGAAAATAGAGGACATGGAGTAAGAGTAATGAAAGAGCAGTATTAGCCTCTAGATAATAACAGCCTCTTATAGGGAGCTTTGGTGGTCTAGTGGTAAGGAGCTAAGCTGCCAACTGGAAGGCATGTAGTTCGAATCCACCAGCGGTTCCACAGGAGAAAGATGGCCCATCTCCCGTGCAATTTACCACCTCCAAAACCCCACTGCAGAGTCATCTGTGGGTTGGTTTTGACTCAATGGCACGCAATGACAATAATCTCTAGTTCCTAAGAACATTTCCCTGAGGCCTTCTTTTAATTAATTTATAAAGCAGAGTGATTTTTCTCTGAGTTTCTGGGCAGGGAGTTTCCTTAGCAAAGTCTCTGATCCACTTCCCTGGAAATTTTTACAATGGAACAAATTTCTCAGCAATTTTAGGAAAATTGATAGTCCCTGAGCAAAAGAATGAGAAAATGTGAGAAATATGATTTGCGCCAAGAACACTGTATTTGCAGCAATAAACAGCTGCATCTGAGCAAAGTTCAGGTAGCCTCAAGAGCCTTCCACCACATACAGGGAGAATCAGCAACTAAAGTGACCACTGCTAAAACCAGGGAATGAAAAATAAATGTTAACAGAAGGTCACCATTTTCCTTTATCTGAGGATGATAAGCGACACCAGAAAATAGAGTAGTTTTTTCATTCTATAGTGAGAGTCCCTGGGCTGCTGCAAGCTTCTTATATTCCAAAGACCTGATGAGACATTAAAGGGTTGAGGGTTTCTTCAATCCCCTGTTGCAGTTAAAGGAGCCTTTTACCCAAAGCAGCATCCTTATGCTTGTAGGGTAGACGCAAAGGCCTGAGGTAGCAAATACAGGCGTGGCTAGACGGCGCTAGTGTGTTAGCAGCTGCAGGGCCAGCCCAAGGGCGAATCCGCCAATGGACTCTGCAGGAGAAAGATGAGCGTGCTTTACAGCCTCTGCAAGCCCGCTGGCACTGAAAACCTGCCTGACAGCTAAGAGTTTAGTTTGAGTTGAGATTATAAAACCATTACTGTAGAATGAATACTAGGATCCAAGGCGGGGATGGGGTAGCAGATGAGTGAGGATGAGGGGCAGGGTTTCATCATAGGGTCAATTTGATGAGTGGAGAGAGGGATAGGTAAAGGAAAGGAGAAAGATCCGGTGTGAAAAATAACATATGCGAACCTTGTAAACCAATATAAAATAAAATTTAAAAAAATTAAAAAGACAATATATAAATAATCTCCTAAGAGGAGGATATAAGCAGACATTTGGACAGTAATCTTCAACTCCTTCAGCGAGAAGCCCAGTCTTCCAGTGTCATTTTAGACTATTCTCTCGGCTCACTGCCAAAAGAAAGGCAGAGCCAGTTAAAAGCGCCAGTGCAGAAAAGACATTTGCAAAGTATTTGATTGGTAACCGTGCATTAAAGTACTTACAGTACAATTTAAACTACGTTTTTGTATTTGCTATAGAACATGAAATTTTGCCAGCAAGGGAGGGCGCAGGGGAGTATCAAATCAAGTTTAGAAAAGTTTATTTTTTTCTTTATTTCTTTATAGCTATTATGTGATCTATTTTGAACTTGAAGCTTTCTGTCACCAACTTTATAAAGCACAATGGTGGGGAGCCATAAACGAAACTATAAATGCTCTGAGAATAAAAAGACTTCCACTGACAGATGCACAATTACACGAACAATTTAAAAAGAAATTTGGTTTCAAAAAAGCTATGAAATGCAAGGTATTTCAGTGACTACCACATAATTTATTCTAAGAATTTACCTGATACTTGTATGTCTCAACTTTTTCTTTAGGAACAAATAATAGATAAGCAGTCTTTAATACATTTCATGAGGCCATAAAATTCTGAGTTATAAATTTCTGTAAGGGTATTAAAGCTATTTCATGAACTGGGCCATGGGTAATGTTTATCATGGTTAATATGTATTGCTTACTTTGTATGTTAAATATTATTACAAATTTATTCAACAACTCGATCAGGTATTTGTAATGTCATTATTCTTATTTTACAACTGAAGAATTTGTAGCATAAGGAGTTAAGGATCTTGTCCAAATAACACAGCTAACAAAAGGCAAAACCAGTACTGGCAATTATATTTAAGAGCAATTTCAACGCTTGAATGAGAGCACTGTGGCCGCTTCAATAAGCTTTGGCTTAAGAATCTCCGGAATTGATAAATGATGGGGCGAGCTAGGCATTTTCAAACATGACACTGGCATATTCTTACTATTTTTTTGTTTTAATGTGTTAATAAATTTCAAACTTAAATAACCTGTTAGTCTAATTTTAAAATAGTGAGTAGTCAGTTTTTTCACCTCTTCATTTTGACCCCTTCAGCAAAAAAAGACAGAGTACTTTAATGGCTAGACATTTCTAGACTTCTAAATTCTCTGGTGCCATAGCTGGTTGATTGTCACGCAGCTGAGCAAAAGGCCTCACATCTCTGGTGTTTTGAATCCATCAGCAGCTTGGCTTCTCTGGAGAAAGTTAGGAATTCTCCTCCCTTTAAGATATTTTTCTTTTTATTAGTTTGCTTACAATAATTTATATTGTGCTTACAATAATTTATTTACATTGTGCTTCATTCATGTACATTATGTTTTATACTGTCTTTCATTTGTATTGTGTTTCATACAATCTTTTTAAGTCTCCATTGAATCTTTCCTGTTGCTTCAGCACCCATCTACCCACTAACCTCTGCTAGCCTAGTGATTTCCACCCTTACCCGTTCAATGGCCCCTTCCCCTTGTTCCTGTCCTCTTTTGAGTATTTATACTCCATTTTACTCAGTTATCCTTCTAATTTTTTAATTTTATGTTGGTTTGCATACATAATTCATACACTTTGTGATTCACACTTTCCTTCCCTCACATTGTGTTTGATGCAATCATTCCCATACATTGTGTTCTGTACATTTAATCCCCATTGACCTATGCCCACTATGACCTCATCTTTTCAGGTCCCCACGGAATCTTTCCCAATTCCTTCACCTCTTCCCTCAACCCACCAAACTGTGACTGTGTAATTTCCCCCCTCCTCATCTTCAGACTCCCAGTCCCCTTCCCTTCCCCTTTTGGACTTCTATACACATCTGACTAGTTGTCCTTTTGTTTTTACAATAATGGTCCTATGCAGTATTTTTTCTTAAGAGACTAGGAGCAAGTTCACTCAGGAGAATGCTCTCTAGATTCTCCCATGTCATAATAGTATTTTACAAAAATCATTGTTCCTTAGTAATTCCTTTGTGTGAATGTACCACAACTTGTTAATCCATTCATTTGTTGATGGTCATTTGGACTGTTTGTTTTCTTACTATTGTGAATAATGCTGCTATGAACATCACTGTCTATCCTATTAGAAATTTTAATGGAGGGTCACTATGATTTGATGTAAGTGTAATGGCAATAAATTTTACTTTAAGCTTAGAATTCTAAATTAAATTGCTTTTGAATCAGAGGAGGAACCAGTGGTCTCTGTCTACTTTCAAAATATTTCACAGATATTTGTTTTCAGACAATATCCTGTTTTAAAACATCACTATTAAAGAATCTCTGTCTTTAAAGTAGAAAAAGGAGAGGTGAGAGGCGCAAGCTGAGAGAATAGGAAAACAATTTACAAAAATATTTAAAGTTTTTTATTTCTTTATATTTCTAACATCTTTAATCATCACCCAGTGAGACTCTTTCCACATGTGTTTTGTGACATTTCTTTTGCAACTGAATGCCAGTCAATTTAAACAATGTAACTCTTTTCTTTTTAGCTCCTTAGCTCAAAATTTAGTTATGGTACAGAGAGAAAAAAAGATCAACACTAATTCTGTCTTTTTAAATCATTTTAGAGTATCCCATTTGGTATGAAGTCAGCTGTCGAAAGAGGCTTGTGTACTGTTTTCCATACATTTAGCCGTAAAACTTCAAGCTCAACCCTCAATGTTTCAGATGAAAGTGGTTATACTATTTTCCATCATGCTGCTCTCCACAACAGAGTTACTATTATATGTCAGCTGTTTAATGCTAACTTTAATGTCAATGACAGGCGTTTTATTAAGTTTAACCAAGGTAACAAAGTTTTTTTGTTTTGGTTTTTTTTTCCTATAGGACTTCTTTTTTTTTTTCCTTTTTTTTTTTTACTTAAGTTCACCAATAGATTGATTTTCATTCCTTCATTTGTTCATGTACATATTTCTCCCTTTTGTTCCTCCAGTTCCCTTTGTAATACTTTACTTTTCCTGTATATTAACTGTCATACTCATAATTGCTAACCATTCATTCCTCTCAGATTGTCCTTCCTTTCACTCATTCCAGTGCAGTGTTCATTATCTACATATTCTTTTCCCACTCCTAAAGTTTCCCACCATAAAGTTTTTAAAACCTAAAATTGTTTTTGTTTTTATCTTTTATTTAGCATTAAGAATTTATGATGATTTTGTTGTGGTTTGATGCTGTTAGGTCCACTACAACTCATAAGACTTTATGAACAAGAGATCAAAACCTTGCCCTATTTTGAAAGGAGCAGTAGTAACATGAGGAAGGCTGAGTCTAACTTCCACTTGCTTTATTAATGGAAACTGTCTCCATCAATAATATTAATATCCAATAATTTTAATACTTAAAAAAAAAGACATGCCACCCCACATGCTCCGGGACCTATTTCTACCAATCTTGGAGTCCCATCTTCATTGCAACTTGACTCACAGACTTTACTCACACTTGTTTGGTTTATTAGGAAAATAGGTTAGGGAGTGAAGGAGGCAAAGAATATCGCATAATATTCTGGTTGAATCCAGAAGTCCCAGGCCAGATCAACAAGGCACAATTCCTCAATTAGTGAAAGTCTAGGTTCAGTTCAGCAGCACAAATACACTTGTAGTTTCCTCAATCATCCAGCAAGCAAAATTTTTAACTATAGCTCCATCTCCATGGTCCCTCTGGTTATATCTTTCCACAGTCTCTTCATAGCAGCATCACCATCTTTTTTTTTTTATTATTTAAGCAAAAAAGACTTTATTGGTTCACATAACTGAACAGTCCAGGGAGTTATACTAGCTTCAGGCACGGGTGGATCCAAGGGTACACACAATGTCATCAGGACCATCTCTTATAGTATGGAAAGTGCTCTCTTATATTGGTCCCACAACTGTTGATGATTTGCAAGACCACATGGTTAAGGTAGCTAGAGACCATGCCCCACAATGGGGCTAACACAATGGATGTTATTGTTGTTGATTTCCATCGAGTCAAGCATAACTCATAGCAACCCTATGAGCAAAAGGCCTGAAGCCTTTCTATAACTATCATCATTTATCAAAGTTCATAGAATTTCCAGAGGCATGTTGTTTAGGAAGTGGATGCCACTCCTGCTACAAAAGCCAATTTTCAAGGTTTCTACCACCACACCTATGCTGTGTCATCCCCATACCTCATATCTCCTCCATACTCAAGCCCATTGTTACAATGACTATGGCAGTTCATCTTGTTGTGAATCTTCCTCTCTTTATCTGACCCTCTGGTTTTGCAAGCTTGACATCTTTTACCAAGAACTGATGTCTCTTGACAACAAGCCTAAAGTATCTGAGACAAAGTTTCATCGTCCTTGCCTCTACAGAGCACTCTGGTTGCACTACCTCCAAGACAAATTTGCTTGTTCTTTTGGCAGTCTATGTTATATTCAGTACTTTTCACCAAGACCACAATTGAAATGCATCAATTCTTCTGCAGTCTCCTTTATTTATTGTCCAATTTACACATTGATATGAAGCAATGGAAAATACCAGGGCTTGGGTCAAGCATACATTAGTCTTTAAACAGACATCCTTGCTCTTTGGAGCTTTTAAAAAAGCCTTTAACAGCCGATGTGCCCATTTATTGCAACATGTCTTTTAGTTTCTTGACTGTAGCTATCATGGGTGTAGAGAGTTCTGGTGGCCTAGTGGTAAGGAGTTGTGCTGCCAACCCAAATACATGGAGTTGGAATTCACCAGCTGTTCCCCTGAAGAAAGATAATAGGCAGTCTACATCCATGAAATTTATTTCCTTTGGAAACTCGCTGGAGGGTCAGCTATAAGTTGATTCCAACTCAGAGAAGCATAACAACAACAATAAACATGGGCTTTGATTGTGGATCCAACTAAAATGAAATCATTAACAACTTGTCTTTTCTCCATCTATCATGATGTACTTATTTACCCAGTTGTGAGGATTTTTGCTTTCTTAATGTTTATTTTTTCTTGATGTAATCATTATTGAAGCTTATAGTCTTATTGATACTCCTCAGTAAGTGAGTGCTTCAAGTTTTACTTTCTGCAAACAATATTGTGTCATCTGAAATATATAGGTTGTTGATGAGTCTTGCTCCAATTCTGATGTCATACTCTTCATATACTCCAACATCTATAACTATTTTTTTAGCATACATATTGAATAGGTATAAAAAAAGATACAACCCTGACCTCCACCTTTGCTGATTTTATCCCCTTTTTCTACTGAAATAACTGTTTCTAGTTCTAGTTCTCTTTTCAATCACTTGCTATACATCAGAGACCTGGAAATGACTAAAGACGACAGACAAAGCTATGTCTCATTTGAGTTGTGGTGTTGGAGAAGAGTACAAAACAAAATGTATCCTAGAGAAAGTGCAACCAGAGTACTCCTTAGAGGCAGCAAAGACATAAAGCTTAGTCTAACATACTTTAGGCATGTTGTTAGGAGGGGCTATTCCTTGGAAAGGAACATCATGCTTGGAAAAAATATAGAGAAAGAGAGGAAGACCCTGGATTTAGACAGTAACTGCAGCAATGGGCTCAAGCATGTCAGAAATGATGAAGATGGCATAAGATAGGGCAGTGTTCAAATGAGTTGTTCATGGGGTCACTACGAATTATACTCAACAGCACCTAATAACAACAATAGTCAGTCTATCTAAGGGTTTTTCATTAGTACAATGAATGATTTAAAATTCCCACTCTCAATATTAGCCATATTATCCAGACAGTGAGTAAAATGCCTTTACACAGTAAATAAAATGTGAGTAAACATCATTAAACTATAAACTGGCATTATCTGCTTTCAACCAAGAACCATCTGATATCAGTAATGATATCCCTTTTCCCCCAAATTTTCCTGAATCTAGCTTGGGCTTCTAACAGTTTCCTCTCAACATACTATTTCATCTATTTTAAAAATAATCTTCAGTGTGATACTAATCATACTGTCAGATAATGTCTGCATTCTGTTGGGTTTCCTCATTTTTGAAGTAGAAACTAATACATATGTTTTCCAGTTGGTTAGCCAGGTACCTGCCTTTCAAATTTCTTGGCATAGAGTAGTGAGCACATTCAACACTGTCTCTGTTTGCCAAAAGACCTCAAATGACATTCCATTGATTCCTGGAGGCTTCTGTTTACCAGTGCTTTGATGCAGTATGAATGTCTTCCTTTAGCACCGTTGGTTCTTCCATCTATACTACTTCCTGAAATGGTTCAGTGTTGAGCATTTCTTTTTGGTGCTGTGACTGTGTATTCCTTCCATCTTCTTTTGATAACATCCTGCATCATTCAATACTTCGCTCATTGCATCCTTCAGCACTGCAATGATGGTCTTACTTCTTTTCCCCTTTATTCTTTCTACTGGAGGCCTATGAGTATGTTCTCTGCTTTGGGTTTTTATTTCAAATCTTTTCACATTATATTTTGCCTTCAGGTCTTTGCACATTTTGTTTTAATATTTTGCTTTATCTTCTCAACATATCCTTTGAAAATTTTCATTTAGTTATCTTTTTTCATCATTTATGCTTTTTTACTTTAGCTCATTTACATTGAAAAGCAAGTATCAGAGTCTTTTCTAGCATCTGTTTTATTTCTTGCATTTTGGTGGTTTTTTAAATATATTTTTATTAATATCATTGTTAAGTTTTTTTATTAATTTTAATGAAAATTTACAGAGACTTAGAGTTTCCAGTCATTAATTGTTGCACTTTTCTCCCTGCCCACCCTCTCCCCCCAATTCCCTTTTCTCCTTGAAAGTAAAAGAAAAACTCTTTCATTGTTATGCAATCCCTCCCCCCAAGTCGATTCCATTATGTAGCCTTCATTCTGGACTCCTGTATTGACAATAATACCCAATCATATATTCCTTTTAAACACTTAATGACTTTCTGCTTCCTTCATGTGTGATGTCCTTACATAACGTGTCTTTGGTTGTTAGTGTTCAGTGCACCAAATCTATTGAGGTTGCTTTTTTTAAAAAAAATTCAGGTGTAATAAACTTAATATCATATTTTGGTTCTGTGGATTTGCTGTAGTTTTCTTCCGCTTCAATTTGAACTTGCATATTAGTAATTAATGATTCATTCCAGTTAGCTCTGACATTGTTCTTGCTAATGATGTTGAATTTCTTCACTGTCTCTACAGATGTATTCAATTTGATTCCCATGTATTCTATCAGTTGAGGTCCATGCATACAATTGCAGCTTTTGTATTTTTTAAAAGGTGTTTGCAATGAATGAATCAATGATTGTACAAAATTCTATTATGCAATCACATTTCTTTAAGACCATATTTTCCAATTACTAGTCCTCATGTTCTTTTGATGGTGAATATAACATCATTCCTCTTCAATTTGTCATTTCTGGTATAATATCTCATTTTATTAAAAATGGCTAATAAGAGTACATTTTAGCTCACTAATGCTTAAGATGTTGATTTTTATGCATTCCATTTCAGTTTTTACAACTTTCAGTTCTCCTAGATTTATACATCATACATTCTACATTCCAGTTTTTAATGGATGTTCTTAGCTATTTTTCCTTATTTTGAGTCTGGTATCATATACAAACTAAGATCCTTCACTGGGTGAGAACTTTACTCTGTCTTGCTTATTAGACTCTACTTTGAGGAGATTGCTCTTATCCTGTTGGATTTTTAGTGCCTCCTCTCCTATTCATAAATCCCGGTTCTATTCATTGGATTTTCAAGGACCTATTTCAGAAGTGGATAGCTAGTCCAGCTTTTTATTCTAGTTTAGTCTGAAAGCTCCTTTGATTTTACTGGTATTTGGTATAT